CTTTAAAAAAAAAAAAAAAGGCAAAGGGGAGTAACAGTGACAGAGCATTTTCCGTGTGCAGGGCACTTTTCATGAAAGATTCCATTTCTTCATTCCCATTTACAGCTGGTGACACTGAAATTTACCCAAGCGCCTATTTCTGGCCAGCAGTCTCCCTAGAATTTGGAGTGTTTGTAGGCAGCACGGCTCTCCTCAGCTCTAGGGGTCGTATGCCACGTCAGGTAGATTCCTGAAACCCAGTTTTCCTTGTGGTTCTGATGGGGTAATTCTATAGCCTAGACTTACAGAATTCCCCCAATAACTATCTCTCCTCATCTCTTCTGCTGTTGCAAGGTGACTAACTGGGGGGAAAGTTGGTGCGGCTGGCCACTCTGGTTTTCTCACTACTGATGAGGATTGCCGATAGCCTCTTCAAGATAAGGGGTGAGGGAAATGCAGAGGCAGATTCCTGGGGCTCGGGGACCTACCTGCAGTTTAACACTTTGCTCTGGGGGACCAAGGCTATCTGTCCCAGGGAGCCCTGAAGCCATGGGATTGTGGGAAAAGGCCACGAGCCAGGGGTCATCCAAGAGACCTCTGTGATGGCAGCGGGTAGCTTCGTAATGTAGTCTGTGGTCTAGGCTGAAGGCAGCCAGGGGAACTGGTAGAAGTTTTTGTCACTTTACTTCCTGCGTGCCGTTCCTGACAAAATCTTTTGCAGGAGGACACAGGGGTCAGAGGTTTTTTTTGTTTTTTATTTTTCTTAAAAAAATTTTTAAAAAGAAAAGTATACCTCTTATTACATTAGCATAGATATTTTCATTTTCCTTTGGCCTTACACGGGCATACATAATTTTTACATAGTAGTAATTTGTGTTCATGTAATTCTGTGGTTTTTTAAAGTCATTACATAGGAATGGGCGTTCTTTGTGGGTCATAAACTTAAGTGTCCCCCACCAAATTTGGTTCCCTTGGGTAACTGCTGAGAAAACTTGAAACAAGGCCTGGTTCCCAAGGGGCTGCCGGAGGGAGCTGTGTGAGTGTCTGAGGGTTTACACCCTGGATTTTTGAACCCTTTCCAAGAAGGGGCTATGTGTGTCTCGGCAGGTACGTGCCCTGGAACTTTCACGAGCCCCAGCCAGGACAGTACCAGTTTTCTGGGGAACATGATGTGGAATATTTTATTAAGCTGGCCCAGGAGCTGGGACTGCTGGTCATCCTAAGGCCTGGACCCTACATCTGTGCAGAGTGGGACATGGTGAGTACGTCTAGACTGGGCTCTACGTGGCTGGTGCGCCCGACAGGGGTGGGCTGGCAGGCAGGGATCTGGGAGAAAGTGAATTAAAGCAGTTTAAATAAGTCTCTAATTCCAGATCCCACTGAGCCTGTCACTGTAGCCAGCGCAGGCGTCCTTTACCTTAGGAGGTGCCTCGGCAGAGAGGAACCGGTAAGGGTCAGAAGGCAGGTGTCCTCCTCTTAGTGCGAACTCATGTAGCTCAGTTTCCCCCTTTGTAAAAAGCAGGTAGTGATATGGGCCCTGCCTCCCTCTTAAGTGGAATAATTATACAAAGGCTTTGATTCTCCAAACACTGCATGCGTGTGAAGTCATCTTTCACTGTGTTACAATTTCTAGTTTCCTTGGAAGTTATAAACCAGAAAGCCCAGTTAATACCTTTTCTCCGTGAAACTTTTCTTCTTTTCCCTCACTGCTAAGGGTATTCCTGTCCCTTCCCGGATCCCCAGATGTTATAATGGCTTTTCTCTTCTTTTTTTCTCTCCCCTTCCCAACCCCCATCCTAGGGAGGATTACCTGCTTGGCTATTGTTAAAAGAGTCTATTATTCTCCGTTCTTCGGATCCAGGTAAGTTGTTACAGATGTCTTGAGAGAATTTATGATGTCTTTAGACATTTTATATCAGAAGTATCAGGTATTTTGAAGGCTGGGGTACCTCTGTACCTCTGAAAGCTTACTGGAAGTGTGAGGGTTAATCACTGTCCACTGGAGGCATCGAATGTGTAGGAAGTAAGGCTCGCTTGAACTATTTGACCAGATCTTGCTGATAAACTGGTAACTTTGAACTGGCATTGGGCCCTGTTTGTGGTTTACCGACTCACTTTAATGCTTTCTCTTCCTACTTTCTCATTAAATTACATGGCCAGTGATAGCATCTAGCTAATCAAACTGGCAATTCATTTGTCTACAGAGTGATCTGTAAATGAAGTCTTTTTCTTGTCTTTTTAAACAACTAGAAATTATTTTAGCTGTAAACCCTGATCACTCAGAAGGTCCCATTTAGCTGCACTTCCGTCTTCTGAAGACTTCAGTTTTTCCTGGTGATGCTAGCGTTGGAGATGGTGATAAGAGCAGCTAACCATTGATTAAATTAAAATAAGATAAAAAGGAAAAACACCCAGTAGTGCAATTTCTGGGTCATAGGGTAACTCTATTTTTAACTTTTTGAGGAACCTCCGTACTGTTTTCCACAGTGGCTGCACCAGTTTGCACTCCCACCAACAGTGTAGGAGGGTTCCCCTTTCTCCACATCCTCACCAACATCTGTCGTTTCCTGACTTGTTAATTTTAGTCATTCTGACTGGTGTGAGGTGGTATCTCATTGTAGTTTTGATCTGTATTTCCCTGATGCTGAGTGATGTTGAGCATTTTTTCATGTGTCTTTTGGCCATTTGGCCATTTGTATGTCCTCTTTGGAGAAATGGTGATCTGAAGGGGCACCTGCACCCCAATGTTTATAGTAGCAATGTCCGTAGTAGCCAAATTATGGAAAGAGCCCAGATGTCCACTGACAGATGAATGGATAAAGAAGATGTGGTTCTTATATACGATGGAATACTACTTAGCGATCAAAAAAAAAAAAATGAAATCTTGCCATTTACAATGACATGGATGGAACTAGAGGGTATTATGCTAAGCGAAATAAGTCCGTCAGACAAAGACAAATACCATATGATCTCACTCATATGTGGGATTTAAGAAACAAAACAGATGAACATGGGGAAGGGAAGGAAAAATAAAATAAGACAAAAACAGAGAGGGAGGCAAACCATAAGGGACTCTTAACTCTAGAAAACGAACAGTGTTGCTAGAGGGGAGATGGGTGGGGGGATGGGGTAACTGGGTGATGGGCATCAAGGAGGACATATGACGTAATGAGCACTGGGTGTTACACGCAACTGATGAATCACTGAATTCTACCCCTGAAACTAATAATACACTATATGTTAACTAAATTGAATCTAAATTAAAAAATTGAAAATTAATAAAACAAAATAAATAAAAAGGAAAAACACCCCCCCCCACTCTGACAGAGAGAAAGACACACCATTCAGGCACTCTTTTCTTCATTCAACAAACATGGGCTGGATGCCTCCTGCGCTCCATGCTTGGTGTGTAGTAGTGAGGACAGGTACCGTGCGTACCGCTCGTTGTCTACTGAGAGCTCATTGAGGACATGGCTCCTTGCAGGACAACTTCTCTGAGACTTTCAGTGCAGCAGCTACCCCATTTCACGTAGTCATTGAATCCAGCATGTCCTGGTCTCAGCTGCCAGCTCCAGGGTAAGGGGGTGGCCTTGTGTCTGTTTGCAGGACCAGGTGTGGAGTGGAGTTAACCTGTCTTGTTTTCCAGGTTACCTTGCAGCCGTGGACAAATGGTTGGGAGTCCTCCTGCCCAAGATGAAGCCTCTCCTCTATCAGAATGGAGGGCCAATCATAACCGTGCAGGTAACCTAGAGACGAGCATGGGCGGGCGGTAGGGAAAGCTTTCATCCATCCACAGCATACGCAGGAGTGATGCAGCTATGAGCCTCACAAGTCTGTTTCTTTGTGAGGCAGTGCCACAGCTGGTGGTTTTCTTGAAGTTGCGTTTTGGGGAGGCGTTATCGTTTTGAATGCCTGCTGTGTACCAGGCCCTGTGCTGACGGCCTTATAGACCCTATTCCGTTATTCCAACCACTGTCTCTTTTAAAAGAAGAACTTCGGGGCGCCTGGGTGGCTCAGTCGTTGAGCGTCTGCCTTCGGCTCAGGTCATGATCCCAGGGTCCTGGGATCAAGCCCCGCGTAGGGCTCCCTGCTCTGCGGGAAGCCTGCTTCTCCCTCTCCCACTCCCGCTGCTTGTGTTCCCTCTCTCGCTGTGTCTCTCTCTGTCAGATAAATAAATAAAATCTTTAAAAAAAAAAAAAAAAGGAGAAGAAAAAGAACTTTGAAGAGGTTGAGTGACTCGGCCAAGGTCACCCGGCTGGCAGGTGGCCGAATCCGGATGGCAGCATAGGTCCCAGGTCCGCTGATCCTGTGGCCTGTCTCTTTCTCTAGTGTGTCAGGCCGCAGGGACACAGCACAGATGGAAACGCTCCGGTGTCTGCCCTGCTTAGGCTGTCAGCTCTCGCTGACGTGGAAAGAGGATGTGCTGAATTGGGGGTCGTTATATTTTCCCTCCTGCTTCCTGCCCCCACTCTCCTTCTTTTATCTGTCCTTTGCTCTGCAAAGACTGCGATATTGTGGGGTAGATCGTGTGCCAAGTATTTTCCCTGTGAAAAATGGGGACCCTTGACCTGCAACAACTTGTGATGTTTGCAGAATTCCTTAGGTTAAAACATTAAAGCGTGTTCACTAGTCATTTGCCAAGGAATAAATGTAACACTGGCTGCATCCTGAGACAATGCGGTGCGGGGTGGTGCTCCTTACAGAACTATGGCCAAGATTTCCTTCTTAGGGACAATACTATGGACAGTTGTAGGGACGCTCACTGTGGGAAGGGAGCATGGCCGCTCTCTTGGCCTGCAGGTGTATGTCGAATGAAGCAATGAGAAGGCGGATCTGGCCAGAGGGACCTTTCTGACACTGCACGTTGAAGAGAGGCCAGGTTGCTGCTCGCAGAGGGATGTCCAGGGAGCGCCGAAGGCCCCTCCAGCTGACCTGAGTCTGTACTGGTGGAGCATACAGGAGCCCATTTTTCTGTATGAAGCTTCAAGGCTGCAACTTGAGTGTGTCTTTGCACGGCCGGGTCTTCTTCCTCTCTTAATCTCAAGTTTTCTCTAGTCTTCCTCCCTTTTTAGTCTCTGCTTCTTTCCAAGTCACTTTTAATTTTTGCTCACAACTTTTCTGTACCTTTTGGTCATTGAAATGCCACGAAAAGTGTAATCAGATATGAACTCTGCAGAGGAGCGCAATGTTGGCTGCCCTGGGGGCATTTCTTGAGTACATCCCTGGCAGCCTCGGATGGCCTGAACTTGACTGTGGGTCCTCCCCGGGGACTCAGCCTCCTCCTCCGCCTTTCACACGTCCACCTGCTTGAATGCCACCTAGTCTGTGTGCCCCTTGACTACTAAATAAACAAGTAAGTGTGGGAGCTACAGAAGAATATAAGAAAACAGAAAAGCCATAATTTCACTTAAATGTCCGGGGTCAGAAGCAAAGCTTTTCATATTTTGGAGAGATTTCCTTGAATTTTTTCCCATGCCTTTAAAAAATTTCTTTTTACAGAGTCAGTTTAAACTGTGTGACCAGTTTCTTATCCGACTTTTCTTACTTTAGTCTTATGTCATAAGCATTTTTTCATATCATTAAAAAATCTTCGGGATGCCTGGGGGCTCAGTTTGTTGAGCGTCTGACTTCAGTTCAGGTCATGGTCCCAGGGTCCTGGGATCGAGCTCCGCATCGGGCTCCCTGCCCAATGGGGAGCCTGCTCCTCCCTCTCCCTCTGCTGCTCCCCCTGCTTGTGCTCTCTCTCCCTCTGTCAAGTAAATAAATAAAATCTTATAAAAAAAAAAAAAAGCTGATTTCCATGTCTGTCTACATTCAGGCCATGGGGCAAAATGATGGCTTTACTCAGTTCATGGTGTTGGCGCTCTGTCTGGGTGCCTGGAGAGTTTGAAGAGGCCCTGCCTATGTGTCTGCAGGCAGGACAAAAGTGAGGTGCAGAGAGCCCTGCCTGGTCCTTTATTCATCCTTATGACTCAGTCATGTAGCAAGTGTTCTCTTCTGGAGGGGTTAGCTAATCCAGCGCCACCTTAGCTGGTTTGCCTATGTGGATGTTTATCTCAGTTGGTACCAAGACCACACCTAAAATAAGTAAAGCCGCAGATGCCTGTTAATAATATCCAAGATGAAAATAATTAGGAGTGGGGACCTTTCACGCACAACTTCGCTTCATCCGGTTTATGGGGTATTCCTCCTAAGGTAACAGCCTACTTCTACCTGATGTTGTGTAAGATCAACAACTTTAGAAGTCACATTGCCTTGGGCTTCATTAAGGAGCTTACAGGATGAGACAGTTAAAACTCTCAGACGGGGACCTGCGGTGGCCTGTTTTTGTAAATAACGGTACGTTGGCACCCAGCCGTGCCCAGTCGTTCACGTGTGAACGTGGCTGCTTTTGCACATCAGGAGCAGAGTTCATCGATGCAGAGACATGTGGCCACAGACCCTGAAATACCCCATGGGCCTTAATTGAAAAGGTTGACTGACCCCTTGCTCTAGAAAACTCAAGCGTTCCTCTGGGTTGGGGTGTGGTGGTGGGCAGAAAGGAACACGAGGTGCAAAGGCTCCGGGCCCACTTAGTTGCTAGAGCTGACCCTGGAACTAGCTCTGAACTTGTGAATGGCCAAAGGACAAAGGAACACACAGCCATTTAAGTAGATCTTATTAAAAGAGGGGGGGAGAAAGAAAATGAGGAGGAAAGTATCTCGCCAGTATTTGCAAGCTTTTGTTCGAGTTGCTCTCAGTTATTTCCAAAGGGACACCTGTGGGACTAATCAGTGTCAGGAGCAGTTGCCCCGGTGGGGGTGTGGGGGGGGGGGCGGAATCTGCTCTGTGTGAGGGGCAAACTCCTCCTTTTTCAAGGTGGCTTCAGGACCAGTGAAGCTTTTGGTGCTGGGGATACTCGCTGCAGTCTGAACCTGTAACATGAAAGTATTATCAAAGGGAAATAGTCATTCATTAAACTCTTTGGGAAGCAGCCCTGTGCAGAGAATGATGGTGGTGTTTAGTTCATCTCCGTCCTTCACCGTCCTGTGCCTACTCCCTGACTGTCCACAGGTCACATGAAGCTACTGGCCATCTAGCAAACAGGGAGTGCTCTCTACCTGTCTTCTTCCCTGGTAGTGCCTTTCCCCCTAGAGCTACCTTGGGCAGCCCCTCCAGAGGAGCTTCCTTACCCGTCTCTCCCGGTCACCCTCTTTTTGGAGGGATCACAGTTTCTTGTGCTTATGTTTAATGACTATGGATTCCCCAGGATCACAAAAATTTATTTGCCTTATGTGCAGGTTGAGACTGGATGGCCGGGTATTATTGTCATTTTTGTAAAATCGTGAACTCTAACACCAGGGTGTGGCATAATGAAGCGTTAGGATGAGAACACCCACATAACCACCACCCGAGATGGGAAATAGCATATGGCCAGCACCGGAGAAGTTTCCCTGGTGTCTTTCGTGACCACCCCACTCCTTCCCACTGTCCTGACCTTTGCGGCTATTCGTTTCTTGGTGTCGTTTCTATTTTTGCCACCTGTGTATGTACCCAGATTTATAGTTCGGTTGGGCCTGTTTTGAATTTTCTGTGGGGGGCATACTATCTGTATGCTTCCCTCAATGTCGTAGCTCTAAGATTCTTTCATGTATTGGGTGGAGCTGAAGGTCATTCATTTTATTGCTTTACAGCAATGTTTCTTCACCTTTTCTTCGTTGTTGCCCCTAAAGAGTCTCTTTAGACATTTTTTTCTAATTGCCTCCCCCACGAAATTTTAATGCCTTCCATCTACTGTATAAGTGTATGTATATCTGTGCTTTACAGATAAAAAAGAGTAAGGTGTTCTTTTCTCCTGTAAGAATCAATTTTCACCTCTTTGGGGGTGCTGTCCTCCCCCATTGAGAGTTCGCAAAAGTGGAAATGTGCCCTCAGCACTATTGCCATTTTGCACCTGATAATCCTTTGTGTGGAGGCTGACAAGTAGGAGGTTTAGGAGCATCCCTTGGCCTCTACCCATTGGGGTGCCAGCAGCACACTCCCCCCTCCCGCCACTTGTGACAACCCAAAATATCTGCAGATTTGTCATATGTTCCCTGGGGGGAAAATAACTCCTGGCTGAAAACCACTGATGCTATTCAACGCAGACTGAGCGTTGGTGATGGAGTACAAAAAGGAGGAGGACCACCTGAACGTTTGACAGCAGATCAAGGAAATGATGGTACATCCTTATCCAGCCAGCATTTGTCCTCGTTACTGCCATGGACATTTTGCATAATGTGTTAAGGTGCAAAACTTATGTTACAACGGGTGCAAGTAATGTGATACCAGTTTTGAGAACATAGAACAATGACTGTGTATTATCGTGTGTATTTAGGGTGTGTGTAGGTGTGTAAATCTGGAAAACTAAGCCAGAATGCTTATAGCACTTATCTCTGGCGAAAGGAATTAACACATGGTTTTTCTATTTTCTTTGCATTTCCCCCCATTTTCTAATATTCTTCCATGGGAAGATCTTATTTATGTCACATTTAAAGTACCTATTATTTAGTACCGGCTAGAACATCACCACAATCCAAAACCGATGTGGTGGTTTTTGTTTTTCTTACTTTGGTGGAGTGGGACATAGTAGAAGGTAAGTTTTTATGCTGAATTGCTCTTTGGAAAATGAGTGTTTGAGGACCGAGGGTAAGAAATATTTTTGGCAATCATTGGGCCTTGTCATCTCTCATAGATGCTCA